GATGAAGAACACCTATGTGTTTGAAACGTCACGGTGTATATTTTCAATGTAATTGAATAAATTATCAGGAAGAGTATTTTGAACTTTACTTTTGACAATGTCTTCAACCTTCCTTAAACGCTCTGAAAAGAATGTATAACAGAAAAGAGATTTAAAACACAGAAAGATAACGCTGAAAGGATAAAATCAGAAAAGAGTTCGGAAAATGGCAGAGTGGAGTCCGTTTATATAAATTTGTATAAAAACGGCAAAAACGAGTCCGGCCTTGTAGAAGCACACATTGATATCTAGCTTTTAGTCTATTAAAACTTCTTTTGAAAGCCCTCGGATACTTTTGACAGTAGGATAAAAATATGAATTATAAAGGTAGACACCTTAACCGATTCAATTAAATACAATGTCTACTTTTTATGAAAAGTCTTTATTTCAGATTGGTACAGAGAAAGATTTTAAATTGATTGGGTGTTTGAGTCATGGCTGCATACTGAGAGCAAAGAGTAGTTCACTTTCGACGTTTATTTCCTAGAAAAATATGCTAGAGAAAATTTATAACGAGTTCGTGAAAAATCGATTCTTCCCGGTTATGCCATTTAGGAGATAAGAATATAACCAGAGAGTACAGAACAACACTGAATGTTATAAAAATCTGATTGCTCATATTTAGAAAAGACTTCGTGCTAAAGCAACTCTTTGAGATGCGTGTCCGTTTCATCTTTAGTAGTACAGACATCTACATTTTCTGGTTTGCTCTGCTCAGGTTCAGGAATACATAAAATTAAAATAAAAATTAGAGCTGTTGCTAGTACTGTCACAATTACTGGAATAATTATAAATCCTAGAGGGCCAATTCTTCTAGAACTAATTGCGAACCCTACTGATAGGGGAATAATAGCATCACCACTAGAACCACCAACAGCTAATGCTGACAATATTTTTCCGGTCATTTTTATCCTATGTTCTGTCCAATTAATTGCACTTGCATAAATCGAACCCACAAATAAACCATAGATTATAGAAGCGACCCATAATATAGTAACAGATCGATGAAAAATTAAAATTAACACTAATGATAAAAGGCATCCAAATAAATCAATAAATATCATGTGAATTGGTTTTATTTTTAAAGAAATAAATATTCCAAAAAAGCGTCCAAGTGCAAAAGATCCCCAGAATGCTGAATTCAGATATGCTGCTATATCTTTTGGTATATTCAAATGGAGATGCGCATATGTATGTAGATAACTTCCAAAACTGCCCTCACATCCGACGTATAAACAAAGAAATATTGAAACACCTAGAACAAAAGCGAAATGGATTCTGTTCTGTTTTTTGTCCGAATCACTTGTCATTTTATTATGATCAGATAATAATGGTAACTCTTGTTTTTTGTTTGGCTTTTTACTATCATTTTCAATTGACTTGCACCATTCATCCCTAATTGCATAAAATAATATCCATATTAAGTCTGGAATAAACAAACATCCTATTATATAATAACTATAATGCCATTGTTTATTATCATCGTCATTTTTAATTGAATATCCGACTTTAGTATTATTGGTATTGTCAAAAATTGTAGAGTTCTTTGGCAAGACATCGGCCAGAAATGGTGCGACAATTAATGGTGATATGAAACAACCTACGCCTGTAAATAAAAGAAGGATTTTAAATTAGTTTTTTTATACAAACTATTATCTTTTTGTTTACATCTATTTTCATAAATATGTGTTTAATAGATGAAAAATGGATAAAACATTTTTTAACTTTTACTCGTGTAGATTTTACATGAACGAAGAAAGAGAAATTAATAGAAAACAATGTTGATGAGATATTATTACCGAATGCACAATGTAATGCTTGAATATACGGTCCAACACCTTTTGTGTAATGTCTTAACGTTAATATTTGGGCGAAATTATCTATCATGCCCATTGCTAAAGCAACTGCTAATTGTATAGGAATTAAAATATAAAAACGAAATACAAACGGCACAATAACTGTGGTTATTGTCATAACGAAAACGCACATGGCTAATAACGTATTACCATAGTGAATAAATCGATCTATTAATGCACCACCCACGAGCGTTCCAATAAAGAAACCGACTGATCGTGCAGAAAATAAATAGGCTAACTGCTGAATGTTTGAATTCGTCTGACTACCCATTTTGAGTAATGTTGGTCCAATTAGACCTGTACTAAGTCCCATGGTTAGAAATGAGAAAAATATTGCTAAGAAATACAGAAATGATGGTGGTGAATATTTATCTGAGGTGTTTTCTTGCTGATCATCGCGATGTTGAATATTTGATGCAACGGATACTGATAGTTCGTGATTCATTTTGTTTTGATTAACACTTCATACGTCTTTTACGAGTAATAATTCAATTATTCAAAGTTTTGTGTAGCAAAGATGGTGAAAATTACTTCTCTTTCTATAAGGCACGTCTCTTCATAAAATAAAAGATAAGCCACGTTCACTGTGATTGATTAAACTTTGAGTAACAGCAGGAATTTGGCTACTGAATACAATTTGTGGTGAGTATAACAGATAAATAAAATCTAATCTCTAACATAATAGAGTGTACGACTATAAATAATATGAAAATAAAGCAACATATTTACTTGAATAAATTTTTTCACATAACCTAAGGCATATAAAAGTAAAACAGTGTGGTGCGAGCTTTTATTCTAATACATAGGTGATTTCATCTGATTTTTTTCGCGACAATTTTAGTGCCAGACAAAACATCGTTTGCAAATGGCATCAACAAAATACTGGCTATGCATCGAAACACCCCTGAAAGTACCTTCTACATCTTGTTGTAAGGGACATTTTATAGGGGGAGCGGGGAGGGGGGTGGGTTCTCACATGTCTGTCCAGTGATTTTGCTGATGTGAAACTGCTACAGCATTTGTCACCGGACAAATAGACGGATTTCTGATCAAAATGAGTTCTTTCAAGATAATATTTTAGTTTACCATAGGATGAAGATGTTAGGTTCGATTTCTCATTATTTTTGGATGACATGATAAGCACCAGGGTTCTTCATTTTGGCTCAGTTGAGACATAGAGTACTTCGGGGTAATTAGGGGCACTCTTGGAAAGTTTCGTTCCTTTTTTGCTATTTATTGGCCGTTTTTGATCGGAAAAGTTGCTATTGAACGTGATGGTAGACTAAACATTTTTCTCGCTATAACGGTGACAGGCGCTACGAGCGGCAGTGATGCTAACAAAGTACTTAACGATCTTGGATGGCTCTCGATCATTGTTTTGGGTCAAACTGTGTTGCCATGCTGAGTAACTGGCTACCTTTCTGTTTGACGACATTATTTTTGATTGCCTATATAAGACAGTGTCTCACTAGCCTAAGATACCACTTAAACTTTTTAGGATGCCTCGAACTTATATCAAAAAGACAGAAAGACAACAATACTCGAAAGATGATCTTAAGAACGATATTAATAGCATTAAAGAAGGTAAAACGATCCGTCAAGTTGCACGGGATAGCCACATCCCAGAGGCAACACTTCAGCATGAATACAACGTCTTATTATCTTCATAATATATATCCATGTTTTAATGCTTCATTATCGAATCTGAATGACTTTTCATTGAACTATACAGGTAGGTTGAACTGATTAGGGCTAAGCATATAGCTATTGGTATACTATCTCACCTTTTATTAAGATTATTCAAATGCTAGTTTAAATCATTACATGACTACTGATCCATTTTCTCAGCCTTATTCATTTCATCCGATCCTCCCGACTTATCCTGATTGTTATAAATGTAAGAAGTCAACTACATCTTCCACTGCATGCACAACTTGCTCTAATGAAGCCCGTCTATATTGTTCTGGTAACCAACGTCCATTCGTCTGCACATTCTGCACAATTTGACGTTATGTCAACGACGCAATTCTTTTTGATTAATTATATACAATACATGATCTGACGGCAATTTTCTGTTGATATCATATTGTATGTTTCATTCAGAGGAGACATATGTCGGATAATTTGATGTTATCTTGCGTATATCTCATAATTCAGGTGATTGTTTTTGCATTTGATAGAGATGCTTATGTACGTTACAGACAGAAGATTTTATCAAAGGTTTTTGTCTCTAGGTGTCATAATTAATTTTAAAATTAATTTAGCCCATAAAATATATTCAAATT